TATATATATTTGACCTTTTCAGATGGATAGAACGTCAATCGTTGGGGACACCATCAACTACACGAAGGAGCTTCTTGCGAAAATCAACAATTTGCAAGAAGAAATGGAACTAGGGCCAAATCAACTAAGCTTGATGAGCATTTTCATGAATGAAAAGCCCATCGAAATGTTTGTCCGAAATTCACCTAAGGTGAGCTTTCATTTGCTAAAAGATCCCCCTTCCTCACTCTCTACTTATACGGACGTAGACAGATTTAAGGCTAGTTTTGTGAACTGAACTAGACCCACTACTCTCGGTTCGAACTATATATTTATGTGCAACAAAAAAAAAAAAAAAAAAAAAAAAAAAATTAGATTTTACTTATTTTAAACCCACTGACTCTAAACTAAATCATGTATTATATTGCAGTTTGATGTGGAAAGGAGGAGTATTGATACAAGGTTGGAGATTACTTGTGCAGGAAAGTCTGATCTTTTGCTATCAACATTGACCACACTAGACGCCTTAGGTCTAGAGACTCAACAGTGTGTTATCAGCTGTTTCACTGATTTTGCAATGCAAGCTTCTTGCTCTGAGGTACAAAATTCAAATATTACCTACTTTTAACTTTAAAAGTTTTTATGAAATCTTTAAACATAAATGAGTTCTCGGTGATTCTTTCATCATTCCGATCTCTTTGAGAGTGAAATAAGTTATAATAGCGTTTGAACAATATTCAGTTAAAGCTGAAAAGTGTACTTACAAATAAGTTGTGTTGGAGACAAGTTTCACGTAGAAAAAAGTTAAAGATTTCTCGGTAAAAACCATCTTTTCGCTTAAAATATTGATCAAATAAATTTTTTAATATTTCACAAGTATTACAGATATTGATAACTGGTACCTACAAAAAACATGCCCTATATATGTAGATTTGTTATGTGGAAAGAAGAAATTCTTCTATCTTGAAGAAATAATTTAATTTGGTGATGTGATGTACAGTCGCAAGGAGAGTAGGGGAGCCTCTAGGCTGAGAATTGGATCCTAGAACATAGGGACTTTGACATGGAAGTTTAAAGATTCTCCAGAAGAGGAGGATCAACATAGTATGTGTCCAGGAGACTAGGTGGGTCGGTACTAAGGCACAGGAGGCAGACGGGTATAAGTTGTAGTACTCGAGAGGGTTGAGGGGGAAGAATGGGTAGGCATCTTAGTTGATAGAGATCTTAGAGAGCCAATGGTAGAGGTTATCAGGGTGATGACAGGATGGTGGCTATTAAGATAGTTGTGGGAGGGTTTACTTTGAACGTAATTAGTGCTTATGTGCCTCAAGTGGGTTTGGCCGAGGAGGTGAAAAGGTGCTTCTGGGAGGACTTAGCTGGGTTGGTGGGGGGAATTCCACACACCGAGAAGCTTATCATATGAGGAGATTTTAATGGTCATATTGGGGCGTCGTCTGGGGGTCATGACGGTGTACATGGCGGCTTCGGTTTTGGAGACAGGAACAGAGGAGGAATAGGAGGAACTTCGCCGTTGGATTGTGCTAAAGCCTTTGATTTGGTGGTCGGTAACTTGTTCCAGAGTACACTGGCCAAGACCCAAATTGATTATCTACTTCTCAGGATGTGTGATAGGGGTTTATGCACAAACTCTAAGGTCATCCCGAGTGAGAATCTCACGACCCAACATAGGCTATTAGTTATGGACCTGGCGATCATGCGGATAAGGAAAAGAGAGTTGTGCCTGGTCTACCTAGGATCAGGTGGGGTACCTTAGCTAAGGAAAAAGCTTAGGTTTTGGGGGAGAAGTTACTGGCTATGGAGGCTTAATAGAGTAGTGGAAACTCGAGTTGTATGTGGACCATGATAGTTAACTGTATTAGAGAAGCTGCGAGAGAGGTATTAGGGGTCTCGAGGGTTTCTCTGGTGGCCGCAAAGGGGACTGGTGGTGGAATGAATAGGTCCAAGGTAAAGTGAAAGCCAAGAAAGCGGCATACTTGAATCTAGTAGAGAGCATAGACGAGGTAGAGAAGAGGACCAACAGGGAGTGGTATCAGAAGACTAAGAAGGAGGCAAAATTAACGGTCACTATGGCTAAGACTACGACGTTTGGACGTTTGTATGAAGAGGTTAGGGAGACAAGCAGGGATAAAAAGCTGTATATGCTGGCCAAAATGAGAGAAATGAAGGCTCGTTATCTGGATCAAGTGAAGTGTATAAAAGACGAGGAGGGTAGAGTACTGATAGATGACACACAGATTACACGGAGGTGGTAGTCATACTTCTCTAAACTTCTGAATGATGGGGGGATTATGGATATTATGTTGGGTGATCTGGAGCAATCCCAGAGTCATCGGGACTTTGGATACTGTAGGCACATAAGTGTGGGGAGGTCGAGGAGGCGATGCGTAGGATGAGCAGGGGTTGAGCGATCGGGCCAGACGAGATCCCGGTGGAATTCTAGAAGAGTGCGGATAAGGTAGGCTTGGATGGCTCTCTGTGTTGTTCAATATTATTTTTAGGACAAAGAGGATGCCTGAAGAATGGAGGTGGAGTACGATGATTCCATTGTACAAGAACAAGGGTGATATCCAGAATTGCAATAATTATAAGGGTATCAAGCTGCTAAGTCATACGATGAAAGTTTGGGAGAGGGTGGTAGAAAGGAGGGTAGGGATGGGTATGTCTATTTTCAAAAACCAATTCGGTTTCATGTCGGGTCATTCGAATACGGAAGCCATTCATCTGGTGAGAAGAATAGTGGAGCAGTATAGGACTATGATGAAGGACTTGCATATGGTGTTCATTGACCTAGAGAAAACATACGACAAAGTTCCGAGAGATGTTCCATGGAGGTGTTAGAGGCTAAAGGTGTGCTTGTAGCATATATTAGAGTGATTAAGGATATGATGTATGATGGAGTTAAGACACGGGTGAGGATAACGAGAGGAGACTCAGAATACTTCCCGGTTGTGATGGGGTTGCATCAGAGATCAGCCCTTAGCCCGTTTTTGTTTTCCTTGGCGATGGACGCATTGAAGCGATATATTCAAGGGAAGGTGCCATGGTATATGTTATTTGCATATGATATAGTTCTGATTGAGAAGACACGGGGAGGTGTTGACGACAGACTGGAGGTTTGGAAACAAATTCTTGAGTCTAAAGGTTTCAAGATGAGCAGGACCTAGACAAAGTATTTGGAGTGCAAGTTTAGTGAAGTTACCCAGGAAGCGGACATGTGTGTGAAGCTTCATACACAAGTCATACCCAAGAGAGAAAGTTTCAAGTACCTTGAATTTATAATACAATGTAACGGAAAGATTGTTAAGGATGTCACGTATCGCATCGGAGCAGGATAGATGAAGTGGAGGCTCGCTTCCGACGTCTTGTGTGATAAGAATGTGCCGCTGAAACTTAAAGGTAACTTCTACAAGATAGTAGTTAGACCGATTATGTTGTATGGAGCAGAGTGTTGGCCTACCAAGAACCCTCACCCAGAAGATGAAAGTAGCTAAGATAAGGATATTAAGGTGGATGTGTGGGCATACTAGGTTAGATAAGATTAGGATAAAGTTATTCCGGATAAGGTGAGAATGGCCCCTGTGGAGGATAAGATGCGGGAAGCGAGGTTGAGATGGTTCAGGAATGTAGAGGAGAAGCATAAAAGCCCCATGGGGTTAGCCTTGGTGGGTATCAGGAGGGTAGAGGTATGCCTAAAAAGTCTTGGGGAGAGGTGATTAGGCGGAACTGGCGCAGCTAGAGCTGACTGAGGACATGACCCCAGATAGGAGGGTGTGGATGCCGAAGATTAGGGTAGAAGGCTAGTAGGCAGTCGAGCGTTTCTCTTTATCTTACTCAGTTCGCTAGTATATTAGTGTTAATATGATATCCTTTTATTTATAGATTGCTATTACTACCTAGAGTTTAACCACTTTCTTGGCTTCAGTCTTATTTTTATCTTCTTGTTGTTGCTAGTTGTTGCCATTACTTATTTCCATCTTTTCTCGAGCCGAGGATCTATCGAAAATGATCTCTCCGCCCTTCCAGGATAGGGGTAAGACTGCGTATATCTTACCCTCCTCAGACCTTATTTGTGAAAAATCACTGAATTTGTTGTTTTTGTTATTGTTGATGAATCATTTCAAAATGGTTTTGGTGCTGATGATAGGAAATGGAGCAGAGAGAATTTACAAATGCAGAAGAGATAAAGCAGGCACTATTCAGAAATGCTGGATATGCAGGAAAATGTCTCTAGTTTTGACCAAATTTGGAGGAAAATAAAAAATGGGGAAAGGTGTAGAATGAATTTTCTTAAAGTATAATTCTTTTTTTTCCTTTTTGGTTACTTTACTACAGTATAGATTCTTGATTATTTTTTTTTGGTTAAAGTTTGGAGCTCTCTCGTTACAGGCTGCAGTGATCTTTTTGTTTTTTATCATCCAAAATAAGTGGATTCTACTAATTAATGCAAATTTAATTGATTTTCTTCTATCGTAAGTAGCCATACATTAGTATTTTCTTCGATTACATATACTTGTTACTCCTTCTTTTTCTTGTAGATACTTATCATGGACCGGGTGTTTATTCCAAATAAATTTTTGGCTAGGACAATTAGTGAATTGAATATATGAATTAATTAACACTTTGATCTCCTCTTGTGTCCAATCTTAATGTTGCGAGAGAACTTCTTTGTCCTGTACAATATGAATTCCATGAAAACTGAATACATTTTATAATGTCTAGAAATAGTACTCGGATCTTTTTTACTTCATTTTCCTTAGCAAGGTGGAGCTTAATTCGTTATTATCCCCAACTAGGGTTTACGTACAAATGAAGCAAATTAAGTAAAATAATTAACTAGGGAAGCGCCACAGAAATGATTCCATCTGATTATAACGGAAAATGAAATCAACCTCGAAGTTCATAAACCTTGCAGTTTAAATTCTTTAATAGATTACTTTATACTATCCTGAGTAAGTTTTTCTTTTCTTCTTTTTCCCCCCAATTTTAGTTAGCTAAGCTCTCCCATTTTTCTTCATATACTAAAAATCTCTTTGAAGTTTATAAACCTTACAAATGCAAATTATATCCCTTTTGACGAGAAGATTTAGGTTGATCAAGGGGGCAGTTTCATGTGGTTTAATATACTATCTTATTTTTGGATTTGGCTCGTCTCCAGTTTAGTAATCCTCCAGTTCCACCAATGCACATCCAGTTTAATGACATTTATTCAATATTCTATTTGTCTAAACCAACCCGTAAACTATGGTTAAAACTAAAAGAAGCCTTCTCTTTTATCCCTTCCTTATAATTAGCATTTTTGCTAGGATTAGTTACCTCCTATAGCATACCTTATTTATTTTAAATAAATACCCTTTTAAAAAATTGTATTCCATAGCTACCTTTTGATTTTTTATAGCCAAATATCTATTTATGGTTACCTCCTACCCTTAAGCCATAAAATAAGCTTTGTATTATTTTTCGAAAGAATTACGGCCCTTGTCACTTGGCCTAACAGCCCAACCGAAAATGGCCCAGATTTGAAGCTCTTACCCTATTTAGCCCATGTTGTACATAACTTGAAAGAAACTTTTCAGGCTTTAGCCCATTATTAAAGAAACACTTTTAGGGTTTTTATTATTTTCTTCTTTCTTCATTCCCAGCACACCAAATTCTCTCTCATCGCCTCTCGCTTCTTTCTTTCTAACCCACATAGATCCCTCATCCTCTCTTAACCTAGCCCCCGCTATTCCGATCCCCCTCCTCTACCCCCTACGTAGTTCTGCCATCAATGGCTCGAAGAAGACTCGGACTCCTACTCCGTCGTCCATGGTGGCAAGTAGAAGAATATTGAAGATTTTTGAAAGAAAAATAAAAATACACACAGATCTGAAAATAAATAGCTCTCAAACTTGGTTTGCACAAAAAAATAAGCACTAATTTTGGAAGATTTGAAATTTGAAGTTCTGGTCATTATTATTATGACCTTGAAGTCTCGAATCTGAAATTGGGTGTATCTTATCTGTGTGTTGAATTCCGAATCGTTGGCGCAAAATTGTTAACCTATTGACGAGTTGAATCATCCAATACCTTCTACTACAACTTGAAGCTTGGATAAAAATTCATAACTATGTAACAGTTTGTATCAACACTGTATAATAGTGTATAATTGTGTATATGGATATACAAACACCTCTTATACACTATTATATATGTTTATACAAGTTAATACATTATTTATAGTAAGTTTAATGTTGGACATTCTATGTTTCTAGTGGAAATATTGTATAAGTGGTGTTTATATACACTTATGCAGTATTGTATAATTGTGTATAAATGTGTATATTTGTGTATAATATTGTATAATTATATATTTTTTCAGTTTATAAGGATGTATATACATTGTCAGTGTGTAAGAGGCCTCTATAGAAGTTTGACACTTCCTTCTCTTCTTTTTTTTTGTGTATGTGCGTATGAAAAAGATTTTGTACTCGTTGGAGGGATTCTACAATTCATTTACCTAGTTTTTATTTTTCTTTTATCCTGTTGGATTGCTTCAGCAATTGCGCATAAAAGTGTTTGAATTTCTTACCTTCAGATAATATGTATTATTCAGAATTTTTTGAGTTGAATTGTGGCTGATTTGCATTTTTTTATCAAATGCTTAATAATCAAAGAAAATCAAGTGAATGAAAACAACTGGTTGTATAAAGAGGGAGCAATAACCGTAGTTGATTGTGTGAAATGAGCTGTCTTTCGGGAATTAACCTATTATTTTTGGCTATAGATTTGCAAAGTGGTATCTAGGCTATTATGTTGCAAGTCAGGTGTGTGAGTTGTATTTATGTGAAATTATCCCTTATGTTTCTCTCTCCACTCAAATTTCTCCTATCCCTAACCAAAAGCTTCAGCCGAGGACCCCTACAAAAGCTGCCCACCCCCAATCACTCACCCACCAGCAGCCTCATCTCGTTCTCATTCTCTTCAATAGAGGATAGATCTCCTCCTTCTTGAGAGAGCAGCACCCGTCCTTCCCATTCCCCTTCTCCAAGAACGCCTAGCACTCCACCCCTCACAAACCTGATCATCTGCCCACCTTCCTAAGAGAGGATCATCATCATTGAATTCCAAATTGAAAGCTGATAGCAGCCCACTCCATTAACAACCTCCAGTCGCCACCCCAAGAAAAGGGAACGACATTAGGGTTGTTCTTGAACGAAGACGACAGAGTTTGGGGCTGAGCAACTTGAATTTTCTGTTAATATATTTCAATGTATTTCAATGTATCTCGCTGTATTCCATGTATTTCATTGTATTCACTGTCTCGTTGTATTCCATGAATGCATTCATATATTTTTTAATTAATATAATTTATATATTCAGATGTATATATGTATTTAAATTGCTCTATTTTTGTTGTATTTATCGGCTGGGAAAAATATTCAGCATATTTTCTCTGAAGATTGCATGTTTTTGGGGGTGTTTTTCGGTTGAGCATCTTTTTTATAACTGGAAATAAAAATTTTCTGTGTTATAATTGAGTTTGTTGAGTTATATTAGGACTCTATTATGTTAATTGATTCACTTTCCATTTAAAAACAACTGAATAGACTATAAATTGCGCTATTTACGTTACTGTATTCACATATACATATCGTGAATACAGTCGAATACAATAATCTATCTAGCTGTAATCCCTTGTTTCACGCCGTGAATATAGTCGAATACAGTCGAACACAAATATTTGTCTAGCTGTAATCCCCTGTTTCACGCCTAGAAATGCTACTGTATTCATGAATACAGTAGCTTAAATACATCGAATACACTCTAAAAAACCTAAAAACATAGCTATAGGAAGTAATATAGTAAATGGTAGCTACAACTAGCTAATAACCACTAAAACATAGTGGTTTCTGAAAGTTTCTCTTTTTGCTATGCGAGAATCTCGCCATTTTGATACTCCTTCCATTCCAATTTATGTGAACTTGTTTGACTGGGCACGGAGTTTAAGAAAAAATAAAAACTTTTAGAATTTGTGGTCCTAAACAAGTTAAAAAGGGGCCCAGAGTATTTGTGTGGTTATAAAAGTTTCTCATTAAGGGTAGATAGTAAGTTTAAGCTAAATTATTTCCAAATTTAGAAAGGGGTTGTCACGACCCTAGTTCACCAACCGTGAACATGTCATGACGGCACCTGGTCCCCATGACCAGGTAAGCTAACATTTGCGGAAATATAATAATTGCGGAAAAATAGAGAAAATCAAATCAAATATCTAAAGAAAACTGTACTGAATGCCACTTGGCAAGTATAACTCAATATCACAAGTCTAGACAATTCCCAAAACCCGGAAACTCACGAGCAACACAGGCTACAGAAGTGTATAGTAAAGGTTCCAAACTCCAGAATTTCTAACAACCGAAAGAAGGAAAACTAAGTACTAAAGATAGAATAAGAGGGAGACTCGTCGGTCTGCGGACGCAACAGATCTACCTCGAAGTCTCCGTAGTCCTCCTGCCTCACTGATAGTGTGCCTGAGTGGAGGTACCTGGATGATCTGCACATGAAAAACATGCGCAGGAAGGGCATGAGTACACCACAGCGGTACTCAGTAAGTGCCAAGCCTAACCTCGGTTGGGTAGTGACGAGGAAGGTCAGGGCCCTACTGAGACAAAATATAACAATAATAATAATTTAATAGTATAAAATCTGACAGATATAATAAGTACAACAGTGAGATAAGACAAGTCAACGAGGCCATAACAACTACACGAGTACAGAATAAACACAGCTCAATACCAATGATAACAATGACGGTCTCCCAGGATACCGTCCCGTAGCCCCTTTTTCCTCAACTGTCCACTGGATCTCCCGGGATACCGTCCCGTAGTCCATCATATGTGTACATCCGAAGGATCTCCCGGGATACCGTCCCGTAGTCCAACCATCAATGTGCAGGGGGATCTATCGGGAATCGAACCCGCAGTCCCAAAGTAAAAGTGCAGGGGGATCTATCGGGAATCTAACCCGCAGTCCCAAAGTTAAAGTGCAGGGGGGATCTATCGGGAATAGAACCCGCAGTCCCAAAGTAAACAAACAAGGGGGGAAGCTACCGGAATCCCACATCCGTAGTCCCAATGTAAATGCGCAATCACAACCAGAAGGTACACGGAAACGAAGTACAAAAGACAAGCAACAGGTAGTACTGGCCTAGCATGCTTCACGTAGTACAGTCAAGGCAACTTAAGCAATTAGGCAAGTTAAATCAACTAAACATGCTTCTAATCTAGCACAGGTTGTAATTGCAAATAGAATAAAGCAAATATGAAAGGAACTCAATCTCAATATCTTAAGAAAACCGGATTTTTCAACAATTGGCTCAAGTACGCGCTCGTCACCTCGCGTACCAGACAGTCAAACAACAAATAACAAATCCTAAGGGGAAAGGTCCTCCACACAAGGTTAG